TAAGGCACATGTGTCAAACACAAGGCCCGCGGGCCAAATCCGTCCCGCCAGGCCTTGCAATGTGGCCCGCACCGCGCTGTCATCACTGCACTCCGCTGTGTTTCTATCACAATGACAGTTTATGACTGTTCAGTAAACCATTCGGCCCGCGATTTAGGCTGGATTTTAGATTTTGGCCCCTTCTCTGATTGAGTTCGACACCCCTACCTAAGGAAACGGACGCAGGGATGCAGAGGTGAGGCGCAGGTGATAAATCCTCCCTCACCCGGCCCTGCGGCCTCGCGCATGGAAGCTGCTGGTCAGCGGTCAGCGGGGCCTGGGCACCAGGAGGGCTGGCTGGCGAGGTGCAGTCTCACCTCTCCCGCCGCGTTCAGACCCGCTGTGGGCAGGTCCTCGGCATCCACAGTCCCGCCCTCACCCCATTCCGGGCTGGGTTAGCGGCCCTCCCGTCACACCCTCTGCTCAGGCACTCGGCACACTGCATTGTAACGACGGGTTAGCAGACCATTGGGCACCTAGGGGAGTTTACTATGGCTGTTTTCTACTAACGTGCTTCGCACACAGTGGACCTCAAAATACCTGTCCAGCCCCAGCTGGTTTGGTTCACTGGAGAGAGTGTGGACCCGAGGGCTGAAGGGTCACAATTCCAGTGAAGGGCAGGTGTGGGAGGCAACCAACCAATCAACATGTCTCTCTCACATCAATGTTTCTCTCTCTCTGTCTATCCCCTCCCCACCTCCACTCTTTCTAAAAATCAATGGAAAAATATCCCCAGGTGAGGATTACAATTTATACTGCTATCTGCGCAGTGACCAAATGGGTGCATTACCCTTCAGAGTCAAAAGTCCATCCAAATTCGAGTTGTTGGAGCCTCTCGCTCTGCCCATGTGAGAACTAAGAGTTTCCCAGGCCGTGGTCTGGTTTAAGTCCGCCCCTGGCAGTGACAAGGATCTTAGCAGCCCAACCTCTGCTGGTCATCTCGCCAGCCAGGGACACACCAGGGACTCGTTTCTGGGTCCCTGAAGGCAACCGTCCCGCCCGCAGTTTAAGCAGACAAAAGACATCATTCAGTGACACTAAACTACACAGACAACTCCCGGGAAAAAACATGACAAAAACCCCACCCCATGAGTAAACATGGCCGCGTGTTTGCACGTTGGCTGCCTAGTGCCCCGGGAGGCCTCCTGACATTTGCGGAGGCCTGGGGAGCAGATAAGACTGCCGGCCTCAAAGGCCTCCTCCCATTCCACATGGTCCTGCCTTCATGCCTGCTGGGCTGCTCCCTCACCGGCCACGACCCTCTGCCCCTCCTCCCCAGCCCCCATCATATTTCCAAAGCGTCTCCTTTAGGCTCCCCCTCCCCCACAACCCTGAGGCCCAGGTGGGGAAGCCTCACTGGTCTGCATCTGCGGGTAAGTCACAGCCACAGAGCCCCAGTTTCTGGTTCTCACTCAGGAATAACCTCATGAGATTATTCTGAGGATTAAGTGAGATAAAAGACAAAACTCTGGAACTCCCATTTGACCCAGTAATCCCACTCCTGGGAATATATCCTAAGAAACTGGAAACACCAATCAGAAAGGATGTATGCACCCTATGTTCATAGCAGCACAATTTTCAATAGCTAGGATTTGGAAACAGCCTAGGTGCCCGTCAGCAGATGATTGGATCAGAAAACTATGGTGCATCTACACAATGGAATACTGTGCTGCCATAAAAAAGAAGGAATTCTTAGCATTTGCAGCGACCTGGATGGAATTGGAGAACATTATGCTGAGTGAAATAAGCCAATCAATGAAAGAGAAACACCACATTACCTCACTCATTTATGGATAATAAAGAACATTATAAACAGATGAACAAAAAGATAGATACAGAGACAGTAAAGCATCAAACAGAATGTCAAATTACAGCGGGGGAGGGTAGGGAGATATTAGGGAGATAAGAGATCACTGAGGACTTGTATGCATGCATATAAGCATAACCAATGGACGCAAAATTCTGGGGATGGGGTGTGTGTGTGTGTGTCGGGGCATGTATAGGAGTGGGGAGGGCAATGGTAAGATATGTACACATATAATACCTTAATTTAAAAAAAAAGGAAAAAAAAGACAAAACTCTGGCACACAGTTGGACACACATGTCCTGCTCCTCTCTTCCCCCATCACCCATGTCTCTGCACTCAACGCATCGCACAGTCTGCCCCACCCGGCCTCACAGCAGCCTGACTCCCCGAAAACAAAGAAACTCCCTCCCTCGGGGTAACAAGGAAGGAGGAAGGGCCCAGTCTGGCCTCGGAGGGCTGCTTGCCAGCTGGATGAGTCGGGGTGAGGGTGGCGGCGGGCCGTGGCCAGAGGGGTCGCTGTTAGAGCAGAAGCCAGGGCTCAGTGTCTTTGTCACCAGCCATGTGACCTTTGGGCAAGGCCCTTGCCTTTTCCGTGCCTCAGTTTCCTCCCCTGGGAAACAGGGTCTACCCCGCTGCCCTACCTTTTCCTCAGGGTCTTTGAGGAGAAGGTGCTGCACTGGTGTGAGCAGCAGTGATGACAAGGGGGCCAGAGGGCCTGGCAGTGGAGGGGTATAGACAGGGTCAGAAGCTGCTTCTTTCTCCCAGGGGGTGGTCACCCGCTTTGCACCTAGTTTTAGGATCCCCACCCCAGGCCCACACAATACTCAGCTCCCACCAGGACAGCTCCTCCCTTCTGCCAATCAAAGCTGCTTGCTGTTTGGAAGCAAAAGTCTCTCCCTCCTTCTCCTCAGTGTCTTATGGAGACACCGTCCACTCCAGGTTCTTCTCTCTCCCTGTTTAACTCAGTGGTCCACCTCCCCCAGGAAGCCCTCCCAGATTAAGCACATCCGGCCTCAAAAGTTCTTGCTTCGAGCACCCCCCCCCCCCCCCCCCCAGCCTTCGAGTTAACTCTTGGAAGGCAAAGGCCACAGATCACGTCCTCCCATGGCTAGCACCTGACACTGAGCACTCAGGAAATACCTATTCTTAAACATGTACAGATTGGAATACTGGAACAGCTTACAATGGTTAAAATTTCGGTTGTTAAATAGTTAGAGTTAAGAACACTCCACCAGCCCTGACCAGTTTGGCTCAATGGATAGAGGGTCAGCCTGTAGACTCAAGGGTCCCAGGTTCGATTCTGATCAAGGGCATGTACCTTGGTTGCAGGCACTTCCCCAGTAGAGGGTATGCAGGAGGCAGCTGATAGATTATTCTCTCTCATCCATGTTTCTAATTTTCTATCCCTCTCCCTTCCTCTCTATAAAAAACAAAACAAAACAAAAACAAACAAACAAAAACAGACAAGAAGTCCCAGTGGGCAGAGGCCCTGAGCATCTCTTCTTGTAACAGGGGTACACAACTCGGAACCAGGCAGTGACCAGGCTAACGCCACTCGAGCTCCTTGGCTTCATCCTGCCGCACCATCACCAGGCAGCAGAGCAGGCTACCCAGCGGTTGAGAGCAAGGACTCCGGCGTTTAAATCCTGCCTCAACCCCTTAACCAGCCATGTGACCCTCAGCAAGTCACTTAGCTGTTCTGAATCCAAAAATAAGGGAAACGCCAGTTCCCCTCGCTGTCGGGAAAAGCACAGGAGAAACTGCAGGCAAACCGTGTTCGCCGCGGCTGGCACACACCGAGCGCTGATGCGTCCAGGCCTGTTGGCGTTACAAGACTTGACCCCGGCGGCAGCCTGCCGCACAACAGCCACCGCGTCCTCCCTCCCCTGTCCAAACCTGCCTGTCTGCTGCCGAATGCAATGAATACGCACAGACAGCTCAGGCCGGCAAAGAAGAATTCCGTGGGAAAGAGAGGGGGGGAAGTAGGGAGCAAGTGAACCCTTCCTTCTGGCGGCCAATCCAGCCCACAGCCTGCCTCGCCACCCCTTCCCGGAAGAGGTGCCTCTGCACCACCTCCCGCCCCCGCTGCTCTTTCCAGGTCAGTCCTCCCTCCCCAGGCCGGTCAGCCTCCGGAGGTAACTGAACTCCAACCACGTGCCCGGAGCTGAATCAGAACCGTGCACCCAAGCCGCTCCTGCTGTCTATGCCGAACCGGACACCAAAGGCTGCTGGTGTTTCTTAGCAAATCCCCGTGGAGGGGAGCCGGACTGAGTAAACAAAGCACAGGATGCCCCGTGAACTCGGAGTTTCAGATAAATAACCATTTACTTTTTAATATTTGGTATGCCCCGTGCGCTATGCGGGGCATAGTAATACTAAAACAGTACCTGTGGTTTAGCTGAAATTCCAAGTTAATGGGGCGTCCTATCGTTTAGCTGGGAAGTCTACCCAAGGGCACGGAGTAAAGATTAAAATCTTTTTTTTTCTGCCCCACAACCTACCGCGGCGCATTCCTTCCTCTGGCCCCTGTGCATAGCACACGAGGTCAGGGGGAGCTTTTTCCGAGCTGCTGAGTCCAGCGACCAGGTGCCCAGGTGCCCAGCACAGAGCCAGGCACATAGCAGGTGCTCACGCTTCCTCATTCATTCCAGGCAGCTTGAGCTCCAGCTGGGAGTGGGAACCCGATGGGCTAGCCACAGGCTAAGAGCATCATGGCCAGGAGTGAGGAGGTCAAACCGCCGGCTTCCGGAGGCTGTTTTGAAGATCAAATGAGGAAATGGCCAGGGAAATGTCTTGTAAAACCTTGGGCAGCAGGCAGGTATGGCCATGACCTTTGAGTGGCCCCACTAGCCTCTGGGGATAGGAACTTCACGGGGACACAGAAGCACATGGCAGGTGGAAGCCAGCGCCCTGGACCCTGTAATAATGACCAACACCTGCTCATTACTTTGTAATTTGCCACCGCGGACCCCTACACCCTCCAGAGGCCTCCGCGCAGCCCTAGGGTGTGAATGAGGCATCCTGGACCCATTTGCCCCCAGGGTGGGCAGGGCCGTTTGCCCCTGGGGTGGGGGGTCTGGTCCGGTTTGCACCTGGGGTGGGGGCTCTGGTCCCCCACCCATGAGGCGGCGGCGGCGGGGACGCCAGGGCCTACCTTCTGGGCCTGTTGGATCATCTGCCTGATCACCTGCTTGAGGTGGGGCGCTTTCTCCTCCTTGGGGGGGTGGGTGAAGAGGGTGACGCGGCTCACGCCGCGGTAGAAGCCGGTGTTGGTCCAGCCCAGGTCCAGCGGGGGCACCTCGGTGTCGGAGCGGTCGGGCCAGTAGGCCAGGGACTCCCTGGGCTCGGCTGCGGCGGCCGGCGGCGGCGAAGGGGCCTTGGCCTTGGCCTTGGCCTTGGCCTTGCCGCGGGCGGCGGGGCTGGCGGCGGCGGCGGCGTCCTCGTAGGGGCTCCAGGCGGCGCGGAGGGCCAGGCGCTCGTGGCTGGACAGGAAGTCCCGCAGCCGCTCCCGCTGGACCCGCTCCCGGTAGGCCCGCTCGCCGCCGCCCAGCAGCGCCTCCAGCGCCGCCCGCCGCCGCTCGCAGTAGTAGAAGGCGGCGTGCGCCTCGGTCACCCGCTCGTTCACGTGGGCCTCGTCCAGGCAGCTCAGCTGCGACTCGGCCATGGTGCCGGCCGCCCGCCGCCGCCCGGCCCGGACCGCGGCCGGTCCCTCCGCCGCACCTGGAGCGCCGAGGGGCGGGGCGCACCTGCCGCGGGCCCAATGGGCGGGCGGGCGGGCGCGGGCGCGGCCGTCGGGCGGGGAGGGGCGGCCTGGCCTCCGCCTCTGCGGCCGCGAGCGGCACCGACGGCCCGGCGCGGGGGCGGGGGCGTCCTGGGGGGCTCGCGGGAGCTACCGCAGGCGGCCTCTGGCTGGCTTCCTCCTCCCCAAGGAGCGAGGTGGGGGAGCTCACCCTCCTGCGGAGCCGGAGCCAGGGGCGTCGCAGGTGCGCGGGCATGGGCCCCCTCTAACGCCCCCCCGCGGGGAGCCCCAGCACGTGCTGGGCCGCCCGGGGCGCTTCTGGGGCTGCGGTCTGACCTCTCCCATTCGGAGAGCTTGGGGCCCCGATGCTGGACTGGACGGTAAGGGGCAGGGAGTGTGCACAAGGAAAATTATAATAAAGCCCCCAGCTCCAGGCCCAGGCGGCCCTTTGCAGAGATCAGAGGCCTCCTTCAACACCTTCACCAGGATAGAAATTTATTTACGGTAAACACACACACACACACACACACACACACAAGAAAAACAAAACCCACACACAAAACACCCCACCCAAATGCAGCAATCAGGATGTACTAGTAAGCAAGCAACAGTGGTGGAATTTCACCCCATTTTAATTTGAAGTGGAGTGTGCATGTGTGTGCGCGTGTGTGTGCATGTGTATGTGTGTTTGGGCAAGATGGGCTGCCAGAGGCCTGATTACCATATCAGTGATTCAAAATAGATGTTTGAGCTCAAGGAAGAAAGCCGCACATGAGGAGACGACACACACACACACACAGACACACACACACACAATCTCCACCCCCAGCAACTGCTCTGCTGGTTCCCACTGGATTCAATAGAATTTTCTTAGTCATTACCGTATTATTTTGTTCCAGCACTCTTGTACATTTGATTCTCTACATTCAAAATATTTTCAGATCATAGCAGACAAGGGCTCACATTTCTCTCGTTTTATAGCTCAGCCTCTTAGAGCTTCAGAAACTCGTCCAGCCCCCTCATTTACAGATGAGGAAATTGGGGCTTGGAAACACGTGGTTTGCCCACATTCTCTGCAAAGAAAACCAGCCGTGGGGTTCTATGTCTCAGAGCTCTTTGCCCGACATTAAAAGCACTTTTGTCTTTTTTATTTCTCTTGTGGAATGACAGGATCTGGGCCCTGATTTTAACCCAGGGAATTTGAATAGGTTTCCTTTTGATGGTCTTAAAATAAAACGAGGATTAGATTTTCAAATATAAGCAAATTTTGTTACAATAGTCAGTTCTGCCTGGCTGGTGTGGCTCAATGGTTGAGTGTCCACCCATGAACCAAGAGGTCACCGGTTTAATTCCTGGTCAGGGCACATACCAGGGTTCCGGGCTCAATCCCTAGTGGGGGGCATGCAGGAGGCAACTGATCGACAATGTTTCTCTCTCATGGATGTTTCTATCTCTCTATCCCTCTCTCTAAAAATCAATAAAAAACACATATTTTTAAAAGTTCTTTTAAAAAGTTGCCTGACTGATCTGGCTCAGTGGATAGAGCAACAGCCTGCAGACCTGCGGACTGAGGGGTCCCGGGTTCAATTCTGGTCAAGAGCTTGTACTTTGATTGCGGGCACATTCCCAGTGGGGGATGTGCAAGAGGCAGCTAATTGATATTTCTCTTTCATCGATGTTTCTAACTCTCCATCCTTCTCCTTTCCTCTCTGTAAAAAAATCAATAATATATATATATATATATATATATATATATATATATATATATTAAAGTTTTTTTTTAAAAGTCACTCTGCCATCCTGTGTCAGCCCAAAGATCCTAGTGGTGAGTAACCTGTGTCCTTTTTCTACTCTTGGGGATGGGCAAGCCTTACTCCTGCTAACACTCCACTTGTATATATAGACAAATTTTCTTTTTCTTTTTTTTTTTTTAAATACATTTTATTGATTTTACACAGAAAGGAATTGAGAGGGACAGAGAGTTAGAAACATCGATGAGAAACATCGACCAGCTGCCTCTTGCACACCCCCAACTGGGGATGTGCCCGCAACCAAGGTACATGCCCTTGACCGGAATTGAACCCGGGACCTTTCAGTACGCAGGCCGACGCTCTATCCACTGAGCCAAACCAGTCCCGGCATAGACAAATTTTCATCTTTAGACTGGAGGGCATTTAGTTCGTTTCCTAATGACTTGTGCCGCCTACCTGCCAGCCTTCTAGGCTTGTGCGGGTGCTCTATGTCTGCACAATGACGCAATCACCTAAGGACACATTTCTCAGGATGCATCCCTGTTGTCAAGCGTCGCATGGCTGTACTTATGCCTCAGAGCCTTAGTGTCCCCATCTGTAAAAAGGGATAATAATGCTGACCTCCGAGGAGCTCTCAGACTGATGTAGGGATTAACTGAGATCACATATTTGACTTAATTAGTTCTGTCTGACTGGTTGAAAGTGGTTTACAACCGTGATTCTAAAACTTGACTGAGCTTGGTAGGCACCTGGGGAATCTTGCTAAAATTGAGATTCTGGTTCAGTAGGTGTGAGGTGGGACGCGAGGGTCTCCATTTCCAGCAAGCTCCCGGGTAGGGCTGGCAGTGCTGGTTCCTAGGTCACAGTGTGCTTGGCAAGGATTTCAGAGGCCGGTGACCAGGAGCATGAACTTGCATGCCAGAGAGTCCTGGAATGGAGTCCCACTTTCCTGGGATAAGCTGTGTGACCCTGGGGAAGCCACGTCCCCTTTCTGAGCCTCGGTCACATCATCAGCGAAATATGGGCAATAAGAAGTCCAGGGCCGTGTGAGAAAGGAAACAAGCTAATGGACACACATTAGTTAGAGGAGCGTCTGGAAGCCAGTGAAGGCAGTCGGTGTTGAAGTATGGGTAAGTGGGACCGGAAGGAAGGGACATCGGGCCCGGAAGGAAGGGACATCGGGGCCAAATTGTGGGGACCTTGACTTTAGATCTTATTCTGTAGCTAGAGAGGAGCCATGAAGGTTATTAAGAGAGTGATGTGGTCATTAAAAAATAGCAGCAGTGACTATGTGCCGGGCACTGTGCTAAGTATCAATATTTTAAGTATCCTCCAAGTGAATCCACAAAACCCTCCTGGAAAAATTATTATTATCCCCAGCTTAGAGGTGAGAAAACTGAAGCACAGAGAGGGTCAGGAGCTCACCCGAGGTTGCCCAGCTAGTAAACAAGAGCCAGGATTAAAATCTGGACCTGATTCCAGAGCCTGGCTACCTACCCACTTTGTTTTGCTGCGTGTGTTGGGAGCGCTGGAAAGGGACATTAGTAAAAGACAGTGTTCCCCTTATTTAGTAACTTATTCATCCAACAAACATCTGCTCAGTGCTCAGCCTTATACTATAGGCTGCAAACCATTCATTCACTCACCATAGCCTTACTGAGCCTTACTGAGCACAAGGCATGCTCTGTGCGCTGGAGATGCAGCTCCGATCAAGACCAAGTCCTGGCCCACGTGGGATGATTGAGACATGGTTTTGCTCTGAAGGAGCACAAATGTTATATGACACAAAGTGGAATGGAACAGAAGGTGAGGATCTGAGTAGAATCCTTGAGTGACAGTTCACACCGGACAAAAATATTTCTTAGATCTGATTGAAACACACTGATGTTTCCCTTTACATACCAATGCCGTATTTATTCAACCAACATTTATTCGCACGTCTCTGAGAACAAGAAAGAAAGAGGCACCAGACATGCCAGCCAGCTGCTGTGATGGCTCCCTTTGTTCAGCGGGGAGTCAGACACCCCATGTTTACGAGGCTGGTTGGTAAGTGACACGGTGGCCTTTGCTGTGGAGGGAGGTATTTGAATGTACGGTTATCTGACCTGCCTGCCCCGATCTGGGAAAGGAACTGTGGAAGTGATTACTGTCCGGTACTACAGATGCACACACTGAGGCTCCGGGAGGTCTGCTCAAGGCTGTCTGCTGCCAGTGGAAATTCGGACATGTGTGCACGCAGCCCGAGCCCCGGGCCGCCCAGCTGAGCACGCCGAGCTTCATTACCCAGACTCCTGAAGAGCCTTGTCAGCCAGGAAACCTTTCCTTTTAGCCACAGCTCCCGTGGTGCTGGGGGACATTCCATGAATGGGGACATCCAGTAGGCCTCTGGCTCTCCAGTTCCTCCTGCCTTCCGTCTGGAGTTCCCCTGAGTGAGGTGGGGCAAGGTGACTGGCCTTCCTGAGAAATCGCGCCTCCGCCTTCCTTGGCAAGGAACTGTGCCTCTCCCTCCTGCCTGGGAGCTTGGCTCTCGTCCACCTTCCCCGCACCCACGGCGCGCTGCTGGCTGCGTGAGCCGTGGAGATAGGACGCCTTGTCATTAACAGTAATTGTAGCTGTGTTCATCCCCAGGCCATCCGGGTAACGCGCGTCCCCAAACAGCCCACCTCTTGACATGTGCTTAGGTGAGTTCCCGGGCTGACTTTCCCGTCTGTGGCAGCGTGTGTCACGAGTGCATCATAAAACGCCGAGGGCTCTCTCGCGCCTCTGAGATCCGTGCTTGCTGCTGCTGCTCCCAGAGAGGATGTGAGCATGAGGGCAGGGGCTGCAGTGGGACCGTGAGGGAGGCGGGTAGGTCCCAGGACCGGACTAGTTGAACAGCTTTCACTCTGGCCTGAGAAATGAACACCGAGCTTCTCCCCGGCTGGGCCTCACTCACAGAGGCCTTCACCTCTCCATCCAGGAGGGTTTATTGAGCTGTTACGTGCTTGGCACATTCCTGCCCTCCCAGGCCTTCCAGGCTTGGGGGCTTTGTTGTATCTGCAACTTTGGAAACATATGGACTCTCCTGACCCCAACCACTTTGCAACTGGACACCCTGATTCCTGGGTTTTCTGTCCCTCCCCTCCCCCATTACTCATTCTCAGTCCGCTTCAGTCATGCCTCACATGTCGGCGTGGTTCCCCAGGGCACAGCCACGGGGAATTCCTGGAGCGGTGCACCCTGGGAGCTGAGCAGGTGGCTGGAGCAACCTTTAC